ATTTTACTGCTAGGTAACAGGGGCATAGGGTGAAAGAAACTCTGCCCATTGTTTCTCGCCGGCGCCTGGGATCGACCCCAGGACCACAGGATCACAGGTCCAGCGTGCTGTCCGCTCGGCCGACCGGCTCCCTAGTGAGGAGCCGGTCCTAATCTAATGGAGACCTAATCTTCAGATAGACATTGTTTCATTGGAGAAAGTGCAACACCGCGCAACAAAAATCATTCCCGTACTAAGTAAACTCTCATACCAGGATGAGGGATGAGAGTTGAGGATGAGAGTTGAGGGATGTCAACCTATCAGCACATGTCAACACTGCAAACTAGGCAGGGCTTAGATAACCACCACCTTTGAGCACTCTTTGCGTCAACCAATGTACATATTGTAACCTTTAAGTATATACAATAGAGCAAAAAAAAAATCATAGGGAAAGGGGGGATGGGGGTAGGAGAAAAGTACACAGAAACTGTATTGGAGGGGACCTAAACATTCCCTTTAATACGTTATGTGTGGTTTCCTCCGAGGCTAAGGGTCCACCTTCTTCCAGCCAGTGTTGGTACTCCCTTCCCTATTTAATATATATATATATATATATATATATATATATATATATATATATATATATATATATATATATAACTGAAAACTCACACCCCAGAAGTGACTCGAACCCATACTCCCAGAAGCAACGCAACTGGTATGTACAAGACGCCTTAATCCACTTGACCATCACGACCGGACAAAATGAGGTGATAGCCGAGGCTATTTGAACCACCCCACCGCCGGCACTCGGATAGTAATCTTGGGCATAGCATTTTACCAAATCACCTCATTCTTGGGTTCGAGTCACTTCTGGGGTGTGAGTTTTCAGTTGCATATTGTCCTGGGGACCATTCAGGCTTGTTCGCATTTGTGTTCCTCACGTGTGCCCCAAAGAATGAGGTGATTTGGTAAAATGCTATGCCCAAGATTACTATCCGAGTGCCGGCGGTGGGGTGGTTCAAATAGCCTCGGCTATCACCTCATTTTGTCCGGTCGTGATGGTCAAGTGGATTAAGGCGTCTTGTACATACCAGTTGCGTTGCTTCTGGGAGTATGGGTTCGAGTCACTTCTGGGGTGTGAGTTTTCAGTTGCATATTGTCCTGGGGACCATTCAGGCTTGTTCGCATTTGTGTTCCTCACGTGTGCCCCAAAGAATGAGGTGATTTGGTAAAATGCTATGCCCAAGATTACTATCCGAGTGCCGGCGGTGGGGTGGTTCAAATAGCCTCGGCTATCACCTCATTTTGTCCGGTCGTGATGGTCAAGTGGATTAAGGCGTCTTGTACATACCAGTTGCGTTGCTTCTGGGAGTATGGGTTCGAGTCACTTCTGGGGTGTGAGTTTTCAGTTGCATATTGTCCTGGGGACCATTCAGGCTTGTTCGCATTTGTGTTCCTCACGTGTGCCCCAAAGAATGAGGTGATTTGGTAAAATGCTATGCCCAAGATTACTATCCGAGTGCCGGCGGTGGGGTGGTTCAAATAGCCTCGGCTATCACCTCATTTTGTCCGGTCGTGATGGTCAAGTGGATTAAGGCGTCTTGTACATACCAGTTGCGTTGCTTCTGGGAGTATGGGTTCGAGTCACTTCTGGGGTGTGAGTTTTCAGTTGCATATTGTCCTGGGGACCATTCAGGCTTGTTCGCATATATATATATATATATATATATATATATATATATATATATATATATATATATATATATATATATATATATATATATATATATATACCTTATGGTTAGAGGTGAAAGTGGAGTAGTGAGGAAGGGGTGGTGGATTGCATTGCTCCACTTCCCCCCCCCGTCCCCCTGCTCCCAACGACTTGGACTGGACGGTAGAGCTACAGTCTCGCTTCATGCAGGTCGGCGTTCAATCCCCGACCATCCAAGTGGTTGGGGACCATTCCTTTCCCTCCGTCCCATCCCAAATCCTTATCTTGACCCCTTCCATGTGCTATATAGTCGTAATGGCTTGTTAATTCCCTCCCTCCTGTAGACGGACAGCACTTGGATCTTTGCCTTGTACAGTGAGCACCACGGCGGGCGCCGGGAAGTTGAAAAATCCTCCGTCCTGATAAATTAAAAAAACTAATGTTATCCAGAGTAGCAGGAAGTAGTGGACGTATAGTAGTCTAGTAAAATAGTAGTATACTAGTATATATATATATTAGTATACCCAAGGATTGCGAATCAGTCAATCTGCGGCAATCCATAGAATCTATCGAAACTGATCGATAGATTCCTCTCCCTGACGACAGGAAAGGATGCCTCGTGTCCGCGTGGCTTGCTTATTTAATGAAGAATGCATTTCCACGGTGAAAGAATCCATTGAATAAGAGTATTCCACCACTACACCACGGAGCAGTCTCCGTGGTGTAGTGGTAAGACACTCGCCTGGCGTTCCGCGAGCGCTATGTCATGGGTTCGTATCCTGGCCGGGGAGGATTTACTGGGCGCAATTCCTTAACTGTAGCCTCTGTTTAACGCAACAGTAAAATGTGTACTTGGATGAAAAAACGATTCTTCGCGGCAGGGGATCGTATTCCAGGGACCATAGGATTAAGGACTTGCCCGAAACGCTACGCGTACTAGTGGCTGTACAAGAATGTAACAACTCTTGTATATATCTCAAAAAAAAAAAAAGTATATACAGAGATAATGAAATAGGATCGAGCTCGATTCTCTCTCTCAAATCATATACACTGATGGTTCCCTACACCGCCCCACGGGTGCAGCTGGAAGTGCAGTTGTACTGACAATGGGCGATGGCTTATACTTTGAGTGGGGAGTCCGTATAAACAACTGGGCCTCTACCCTTCAGACCGAACTATTTGCCTTGATCCTTGCACTGAAATGTGTACAAGTCTCCAAACTTGATACATTGATTGTAAGTGACTCTTTATCATCCTTAATTGCTCTAAACTCTTTAAGACATAACTGTAACATGCTCGTGTCTGAAGCTAGACACAAATACAACAAAATTATTAATGATGGTAACAGAGTCCATTTCATGTGGACATCATCTCATCTAGGCCTCTCAATACATGATGGAGCTGATAAGTTAGCTAAAGAATCTTCCTTTATAGGAGAAATTGAATATAACCTTGGATTGTCAATGAGTAATCTGAGAGCAGCAGTGCACCGAGAACTTCAACAAAATCTTGTAGCTCTGAGGCAAAGTGAAATCGACACCAGTAATTCCATCTATCATCATACTATCATGCAAGAGGAGCCACACATCTATAATTCATGCAATATCAGCAGACTTCTAGATGTTACGGCTGCTCGGCTTAGACTCGGTTACAAGTATCTCTGAGAATTCTCATTATCTGCTGATGTAGACCTGACCAAATGTAAACTGTGCTGTGGGCAACAAAATTATTCGCACACCTTCCGTCACTATGTATTGGAGTGCGAAAAGATACGTGAAATCAGAGAAAATACCATAACAAATGCCAGAAATGTTTAACTATTTCATTCAAAATGATCTGCTACCAGAAATTTTAGCCAAATATCCCCAGTTTGCTAACTGTAGGTAGTAACTAAGCGATTGTAACCTATCCACCGCTGCCCACTGGATGGGGGGGGGGCGGTGTGCAGGACAAACATATCAATTGTGACACTAGCTCTCCACATATGTCAGTTGCTTAATTTCGAAACTGTACTTGTGGTCGATCTCGAACCCATTGTTGATGTGACGACTTATATACAAGAGTTGTTACATTCTTGTACAGCCACTAGTACGCGTAGCGTTTCGGGCAAGTCCTTAATCCTATGGTCCCTGGAATACGATCCCCTGCCGCGAAGAATCGTTTTTTCATCCAAGTACACATTTTACTGTTGCGTTAAACAGAGGCTACAGTTAAGGAATTGCGCCCAGTAAATCCTCCCCGGCCAGGATACGAACCCATGACATAGCGCTCGCGGAACGCCAGGCGAGTGTCTTACCACTACACCACGGAGACTGTGGTGTATACTGAATTGTAGACTGTGTATACTGAATTTTGTAACTAGCTCATCAAGATTGTAACTTGCTTAGCTAAATGAATTGTGGGGTTCAGTCCCTGAGCCCATTATGTGCCTCTGTAACACTTTCCACTACCGCCCACAAGATGGGTATGGGGTGCATAATAAATGAACTAAACGATCGTATCCTGAAACAACCAAGGAGAACATTGTTGTCATTCCATTGTGTATTTCCGTGGCATTCGTGCCAGTGGTAAAGTTTGACATACTGACATACAGTAAGGTGCTAATTGATAGCAAATGCCCCTTCAGTTGTAAATATATAGTCTTCACGTGCAAGTGATGATGAAGGGTCCAAACTTTTTCGAGGTTGATTAACTGGAATCAAAACTGCTTTAGTCACCCGCAAATTAAATCCGTTTTTCGTGGTTAACGTTTTCTTATAATACGAGTTAGAAGTTTTAGTGAGGTAAACTATATCATTATTTAATGAGCCTTCCTTTCACTGCCCACTTGAATGGTGGAAGTACTCGAGATACGGGAGATATTCCTCTTCACAAACAAAAATACTTTATTTCTTCCTTCCTTGGAAAGAACACATCACAGTCGTGTTAGCTCTTCGATAGAATCTTTAGAAGTTAGTTCTTCGATTCCTGGAATGACTAACCACCCTGTGAGATGAGGATATTGGGTGAACTTAAAGATAGCTCACAATCTATATCACCACATCGAATAGGGCAGCAACATACCCCTATATAAAGCGTGTTAATAAAGAAACCGAAATTAACTAGCCTTTTTTCTTAGTTAAATTAAAACTTGTCGGAAATGCTGGGCATATTGGTGGCTGTGCAAGAATGTACAAAACGTAAAAAATCTATTACCACTATACCCATTAGTAAATATTTAAAATATATAAATTTGGATATATTAACTTAAATCTCGAAAATGTTACTGTACCAGCTCACAACCAAAGAAAACGAGACTAATGGAAAAGAAAAAGCGACCACCACAACATTGGTGATCGTCATGTGGTCACATCTCTGGGTCTCGCTCTCAAGTTGACCTCTAGGACAATACAGCCAAGTTACATATATAACCTGCAACACTGACGCTACCATACGCCACAGCTGTATGGTTTACAGCTGGTTTACTGCTGGTCGTTTCAGGTTTACTGTATCCGTCGTGAAGAAAGTGGTGACGCGGCCTCAGGAAGCAGCAGCTACCTCGTGTATAGCTCGGGAAGAACCATAGTGTAAACTATTTGCAGGCGGCGGTTGGCTAATACTTTGAAAATGGGTAAAAGAAGGAAGTAAGTAGTTTAGTGGAATTAGTCTATTATGGAGTCACGTCCATGCTGCGGTTCGCTTAACTAACTGGACCCTAATACTCTCATTAACATGTACAGTTTTGGGTAACAACATTGGAATAGGATTTTTTTTTATGTTTATTTAATATAGTTTGAGTACAGCAGTTGGATGTTAGAAATGGCAGGACGGTTATCTTGATATCTTGAGGTTATCTTGAGATGATTTCGGGGCTTTTTAGTGTCCCCGCGGCCCGGTGTTGTGATAAGTTGAAATGACAATGTTCGTTATGTGCTGCTGGCAGTCTGGTAGGATGTACTCACCTAGTTGTGTTTGCGGGGGTTGAGCTCTGGCTCTTTGGTCCCGCCTCTCAACCGTCAATCAACAGGTGTACAGGTTCCTGAGCCTATCGGGCTCTATCATATCTACATTTCAAACTGTGTATGGAGTCAGCCTCCACCACATCACCCCCTAATGCATTCCATTTGTCAACCACTCTGACATGTGGTGCTGAAGCACTGGAAGCGGAGAGCTTGCGGTCCATCTAATTACCACAAGCTACCACAAGCTACACAAGCTTCACTAAGCTTCCTGGCAATACTTTAGTAATGAATAAATATGATATATTTACTCATTATAATGTTGGTGCTGAATGTACGACACGAAAAAACAATTTTAATCTGAAAAGTATCTTTTTATAAAGAAATTAGATGAAAATATAGAGCTGGTGACGCCAAATCAAGTCAACTATCCAAGCGGCGGTTAGGTTAGGTTAGGTCAACCTAACCTAACAAATCATATTTATTCATTACTAACGTATTGCCAGGAAGCTTTGTGAAGCTTGTGTAGCTTGTGGTAGCTTGTGGTAATTAGACGAACCCGAGAGCTTGTTTGAAGTTTATTTGATATTTTCTGAGGAACTAACACTACCTAACCCATTTGAGAATTATGGTTGCATTTTTAATGGATGTTAGTGTACGTTTTTATTTTCTACTCTGGTAAAATTTTGGACACTAGTCCTGTTGATGCCTCATTTAATTTTCCAGTTGGGGAGGCATTTTCTGTGCAATTACCCCTAAAAGTGACCAAACATAATGGGGAATGTTTTTATTGCAATGTGCATTATAGTATAGTTCCATATACTGTACAATAATATTGCAGTGTATTGTCTTATTAGATCACTACAATACATGATGTACAGTATATATGATTTTTGTTGATACTGTACTGAATGTATTTTTTTGATTAGGTAAGCTATTCTTTCATTCCATTACAATTTTATTTCTTCAAAGTAATTACTTTGAAGTTAAACGCTCTTAACTCATTTCAGAACTGGAGATGGTAACCGAAAGCAACATTTTGTCAAGAAAGGAAATAAGGAGGAGACTCATAGAACACTATTAAACCCAGACAGTCGAGATTTTATATATGATGAAGTGGACGATTTTGAGGATGGCCGTGATCAGTTGGCTCTCAGCAATGCAAAGAAACTGATGTCAAAAAAGAAAGAGTCATATGTAGGTGATTTTTCCTTTGAATCTATTAATTTAATTTCATTCGTAATTGCATGACTGTGAAGAATTATGTGATTTGAACATACTATACTGTAAATGTATGTTAACTTATTGCTAAAAGATAACAGTCCTCGTGGCGCAATGGTAAAACACTCGCCCGACACTTCGCAAGCAATTTGGCCTGGGTTAGTATCCTGGCCGGGGAGGGTTGACTAGGCATCAATCCTTAACTGTAGGCCTCTGTTTTTCATATTTCAGCGGGCTTGGTTCGGGATAATGCATCGGCCACCACATTGGTACAGTATTTGTAAATGAGGGGGCACCAAGCATACTGATGAGATAAAAAAAGTAACCCCGAGAGATATTAAGGGTACAGAAGGGTATACCTTAAATATGACATAAACAAAGATGAAATAAAGAGAAAGATAAAACAGTGCAGGGAAAGAGCAAGGAGGGAGAAATAGAGAAGTTGGAGGTGTAGAACAAAAAAGAGAAAAGGGGAAGAGTTGGTGGAAGGGTTGGAATCCCACACCACTTCCCAGCAGCCTAAGGAGCAACCAATCCAAAGTGATGGTGTGAGGAGGAGGAGGCAGACATTTGAAAGATTACAACACGAACAGCCATAGAGGCATATAGTTAGGACCAGTAACCGTTATTGTCAAAAAGAAAGTAAACCAGGCTCCACACCTATATCCTTTCCTTAACCAAACCTAACAACCTCCCAACACTCATCTTCCTTCTCCTCTCCTACACCCCATAACTACTTTTTCTGCCCCTCTGATTCTTGATCCACATCATACATCCATGTTTACTCCCAATCAGCAAACTCCCTTCCCTTTACCAGTTACCCCACTAACTGCCACTACCTCACTGCCATCCACTCCCAGGCTCTCTCTCCTCCAACCAATCTTCCAACCCTTTCCATACTGTCTACACCTGACCCAACCTAGTATCCTACCCCCAAGTTCAAAGTTGCCCATACAGAGAATAGAGTATCAGTGAAGAGCTTAAAAATCTGGTACACAAGTGCTGATGGATTGTCAAATAAAGCAGATGAATTGAAAGAAAGGACTGATGAAACAAACCGATTTAATAGTAAAACAAAATTAACTGAAATGATCACTAATGCAACACTCTCGATGCTCGAGAGTATTGCATTACGACTTCACAAGTAGAGCCTGACCTCAGGTTAGGCTCGAGGAGTAGAAGAACTCCCAAAACCCTCTCCAGGTTTGCTTCTATGCAGCATTTAAACTATAAGAAGTGTGTGTAAATGGAAAAGAAGAGGAAATGTTTAGCAGTTCATATGCAGTTTCTATTTTGTATACATTTGGGTTTATAATATAGTTCAGATAATCCTGTTTAGTAGGCTTAAAGGTAATAGAAATGAGTTAAGTACAGGTGTATTTTTTTCAGGAACAAGTATTGGGCATTGATGTTAGTTCATCTGACAATGATGAAGATGATGGTGAGAGTGAAGAACAAGAAAGTGATGAAGATGAGTTATATATGGAGGATGATATTGTTGATGAACCTGACTTCAAACTTCCTGATGAAAGAGCATGGGGCAAGAACAAATGGAGATACATTGGTACAGACACCACTGACGAAAAAATTGCTAGTAAGTTATTACCATGTGTTTGTATCATAGTGGTGTGTGTGTGGGCATACAGTTTGTTTAAATTATCAATGTAAGTACAGTATATATATTTTTTACTTATTATCACAGTACTGTATATTAATTCTGTAGTTTCACAATGGAGTGCATCCTAAGGAGTATGGAGTGGGAGTATACTGCAGGGCAGGCACAGCAAAAACAGGGTAAATTGCATACCTGCTTGATGTAATAAATGCAGCAGCTGAAGCCACAGCTCTTATAATGGGCTGTTTTAACTGTGAGGCAGTAGATTGGGCAATACCAAAATCACAAATGGAACGAGTAATTTCTTAGCCTAGTAGAGGACTCCTTTCTTATACAGCATGTGTTAGAGCCCACCTGAGGTAATAACATCCTAGGTCTTATGCTGACATCAGAGGTAGTCATGATCAATGAAATCTAGGTAGGAAAGAAGCTCGCCACTTCCTGTGCCATCCTGAGATGGCATATAATTCTAGAAACCCTTATAAAGGTTCATCTGATGACTTCTTTGCCTACCGTTGAGGAGAGAAAATCGTTGAACAGGAGAGGAATTGCAAAATACCTCCCATACTCTTAATTTTAATAAGTACTGTATGGTGTCTGGTGGTAAATTCTTTCTGGGTTGTGAAGGTTTTTGAAGTATTGATGATCCACCATGCATGTGCAGTATCAATTTTATAGTCTGGAAAAATGAAACTAAACAAAACTTAAATATTCCTAGGTCTAGTATAGCATATATATATACTATATTTGGCCTAAGATAGCATGTATTAGACCTAGGATTGCTAAGAGAGGTTAGATTAGGTCTTATATTTATGTTGTGGTTAAAAATAATTCTAGTTTGTCCAAATTCAAAAATACAAAATCAACTTTCTGGTGGTCCATCACTACATAATGGTACTTTCTACCAAAAGAAAGTACCAGTATAGTACTTTAATTTTAGGAGGCTGGGCTGACTTTCCAGTGACACAAGTTTTTAAATAAACAGTAAAGCATTGCTATTATATGTATTCCTTTGAATAATTATTCATGCCAAAGTTTCGTAAAGAGTTTTGCTAATTATGTTTGTTATTAGAGAAACTACACAGTCAAGATGAGGAACTGGCCAAACTTGAAGAAGAAACAGCCAGGAAACTGCAGGAACGTATGGCTGCGGAGCTCCATGATCTTGTGGCTGATGATCTTATTCTGCATGTGAGTCACTTTTGTAAATATAAAAGTGTAATGTAGGTAGAGCAGTGAGAGAGATCTTTTGGCCAAGTGATTGGCCAGATGCCAGTTGATTACAACAGTTACAGTTTTTAATTGCAGTTCTTAAACAAACAAAAAGTCTTTAATTAATATATAATTTATACAGTCTTCCCTACTGTTTTGCTATCTTATAACAAGTGAGAAGGTGCAGTATGTGTTTGTATTTTGTGCAAATTCGTTCTTTAGCTTGAAATTTGTTTTGCTATGGAAATCTTAAAATGCAGGAACAGTTTCTGGGAAAGCGGGCTTATAAATTGAAATTAAGCTTTTGAATTTATGAAAAGCTCCTTCAAAGTAGATCATTTTATTGCTTCTATTGCTGCTTAAGGTATATGATCCACTTTGTTAAGAATCATGCAGTCAGAAATGTTTAAAAAGGAACCTTCTGGGTCCTATATATAACCCCATGCAGTTTTGGCATGGAACCTCACCTGAAAATGCACAAATCAAACCTAGAAAAGTTCATTGATTTTTAAGCAAGTGGCCTACGGTACAGGGTAAGGCTGAGGGAACTAGACCTTCCCCACACTGGAGGAGAGGTGGAATAGTGAGGACATAAAATTCTGAAGAGAATGACAAAGCAAAGTAACATTTTTTTAAATTCAGGAACATCAGCATGAGTGGGTATAGATGGAATTAGACAAATGAGTTAAATGTCAGAAAGACCTTCAGTGTTAGAGTTATCAGTAAGTGGAAGAGGTTAGACAAAGAAGGGGTTGAGGTTAACACTACACAAATATGAATGTAAATAGAATAAGAAATGTATACGAGAACAAAGTTACTACTTTAAACTAAGAACGTTCAGAAAGTGGGGTTAAGAGCCGATGCTCGACCTTGCAAGCATATCAAGGTGAGCACATACATACAGGCCAGTGATAAATTTACATCGTTAGATGACAAATTGCCTTCAACTCACGTGAGTAAAACAGGGAAGCTGCATTTTAGGATTTAGATGTGCTTCATGGAGTAAAAGTCCTAAGGGGCAAACATGAAATGTCAAAATGTAACTCCAGAGCAGGGAGAATGATGATTGTGCAAGACACAAGCCTTGACAGAAACAGAGCAGCAGTATGAAGAACAGTTTTATACTTGATTAAAAGCTCAGAATTAGAATCTCCTTGACCAAAGTATTGGGTTGAGTTCACTGACCCCAATTCCTGCTGCCAACACAAACAGAAACCTCTCTTGAGGGAAGAACATGGGAGAGTGAAAATCTGAACTACAGTACTCACTGTTCTCAGAACACTGAAATGCATTGCACGATCATTACATCAAATACTGTATGCGCCAATGAATTCTGGAAAAGGTAAATTGAAAGCAGTGGTGGACTGAAAAAAAGTTCCACCTTAGGGCCCCACTGCAAGTGTCACAAACTAACAAACAAATGTATCTGTTAGAAATTATATTTTGAGAAATTCAGAACTACCCTGAAAACAAACCCTCTTCAGGAGAACTTCTCATCCAGAAGTAGGATTTTCTAGCATTTTGTTTGTTAGCTGGTTTTGTACCTCCCCAGCTGTCGCTGTCTTTTTGGCTAGGAGTGAGTCTTATCAGCTTCTGGGATGCTCCTTTTGGTTGTTGATGCTCGATTGCTCCAGCCAGGGAATCCTCATGTTCGACCCAGTTGCGGTGGTCCCACCATTCTCTTTGGGATCTCCTGTGTGACTTGGGTAGTTGCCTCTTATACATTCCTGGTGTTTCTTGTTTTGTATTCTTGGACCCAGTTGTCACTGGTGGTTCAATAGGTGGTCCCTTTTCTCTTGTGTGTCTTTGGCAGTGCTTTGGGCTTGTGAGTACTTTTATACTACTTTGGTTATTCATGGAATGGAGAAGGGAAGACCTTTCTAGAAATCCACCATTGAATGTAATGAAGTGCATCTTGGTGGGGCCCTCCTTGGCTTTCTGTTCCTGTCCCGTGATATTCAGGGATTGTTGCTTTGAAACCTATGATAGAGGGTGCTGGCTGGTCAGTATCCTTAGATTGCTTGGACTGCCATGTGGTGGCCAGCAATCATTGCTAATTAGCAGTTGCTTGTTGCTAATGAGTGTGTGTTTGCTCATGCCAGGGTTGCAAATATTGTCCATGTGTCAACAACCAAGTCTTTGATCTTGTAAAGCTTGTTTTGTTGCATCCTACCATTGTGGTGGGTTTTCCTTTGGATTAGTGTGCTGGTCTAGTACCCCCCACACTATACTCCCCTTGCCTCTATTGAGGGACCAGATTCTGGCACTGGCATCTTGTAGGTGCTTATGAATCTTTTTAACCTGATGTGGTAACCTAGATTTGGAGCTTAGAGGTGGATAGCTCAGGGACCCACCAGAAAAAAGCATTTCAATATATTTCAATGCTGGATTTTTTCAGCTGCTCAGTTTCTGACACTACACATTCTAGAATATTAAGCTATTCAGTACTTTTGTATTTTGTGCACTCTATAAAAGTTTCATATTGTGTGTCTACATTCTATGTCCCTATCATATTTATTTCATATTAATTTTAAGTGAAATTGATCTTGTAAAGTTTCTCTATATACACAGTTTTAGAAGCAACTTTGAGTCAAACAATAAGTTTTAAACATTCTTTATTACAATTGCAGGAAGAAGATAAGCCTAAAGATGTGGCATTGAAATCTACATTGGAGGTGGATTTGTCAGGATTGTCAAGAACAAAAAAGTTGCAGCTGCTCCAGAGAGAATCTCCAGAATTCATGCCTCTGTTTGATGACCTCAAAGGTAAAGACAACAATGTTAATGGCTAACAAACTATAATACAATGGAACCTCGAGTGACAAGTGCCTCTTTTGCATTTTGAATAATGAGCGCGGATCGCCGATAATTTGTCTCGATTGGCGAGCGCTCGTTTGATTAACAAGAAAACTACATGGTGCATTCCTGCTGTTTCTCACACACATTCTCGGATGCCTCCGATGATGCAAATAAATTATTTTTTTGTTTAAAGATGCTAATGATGCTGGGATGTAAAGGGGTGACTGTTGTGTTGTTGCAAAGCATTGACTTTTTTGTAGAATAAAAAAACACAAAAAAATTGAAAAAAGAACAAATGTCAAAATGGTTTGTCAGGGAGGCTGCTCCATGTTTCTTAAAAAAAAATAACGAAAAAAATTTCAACAAATTTGAAAAACGAATAAATGTCATAAAGGTTTGTTCAGTGTTTATCAGGTAAGCAGCTCCATTAATAATAAATACAATAAATGAAAAATACAAAACCACACATTTGAAACAAAGAAAGATTGACAAACACTGAACGAACTTTTATGACATTTGTCCATTTTTCAAATTTGTTCATTTTTTTCATCTTTTTATGTATTCTTTTTAAGAAACGTGGAGCAGCCTACCTGACAAACACCGAACAAACCTTTCTGACATTTGTGCTTCTTTCAAATTTTTTTTTTTTTTTTTTTGAGAAACATGGTGCAACCTACCTAACAAATACTGAACGAACCTTTTGCTATTAAAAAAATAAAAAAAAATTGAACAAATTTGAAAAAAGAAAAATGACATAAAGGTTTGTTCAGTGTGTGTCAGGTAGGCTGCTCCATTATTTAAAAAATCGAAAATCATATTGATGTTTATCGGTGGCGGAACGGATTATTTTTATTTCCAATATTTGAAATGGGGAAATTCATTTTGAAAGACGAGCATTTCACATGACGAGCACGGCACCAGAACGAATTAAATTCGTTATTCGAGGTACCACTGTAATCATTTGCAATATCTTGTACATTGTTAGCAAAGTTAAATCATAGATCATAATTAAATAATGTTTAATTTTATCAGTAGGTATCACCAATACTGAACATGTAGAATACTACATGTAGAGTACATGTATTTGCTTTTTTTCCTCGAAGTTCCCATTCAGCATTGTAAAACAAGCAACACTTGCACAAAAATACCACCTTTCATATTGGACAGTGTAACCCTATGGTAGATTTTATTTTTTTCAATGTAAATTTGTTTATGGTGAATTCATGCTCGCCTCAGGATAATATCTGCCTCTGTTAGAGCTGGTTGACATTTTACAACAATGTAGTAGGGAACTTATCAGTCTGTTGACCAGACCACACACTAGAAATTGAAGGGACGACGACGTTTCGGTCCGTCCTGGACCATTCTCAAGTCGATTGTGAATGGTCCTCACAATCGACTTGAGAATGGTCCAGGACGGACCGAAACGTCGTCGTCCCTTCAATTTCTAGTGTGTGGTCTGGTCAACATACTTCAGCCACGTTATTGTGACTCATCGCCTGCTTATCAGTCTGTTCTCAGCATTGCCAAGATACACCTGCAGGTTACTACAGCATATTTAATTACATCAACAACTAGCATTGGTGACACTAGATTCCTTGCCAACCCAAACCCTCCCACATTACATCCTGACTTGCCTCTGTTGCAGCTCCTGGGCAATTCTTTAAGTAAAGTGATTTGTATTATACTTAGGATTTTTGTGTTCCATTTGTGCAGGGAGTTTATGGTACATTTGTGAATACTTCATATGCTGACACACCATTTATGTCTTAGAATTTTCACCGGCTGATGACTAGCATTATCTTATGCTTGGGCAATCCTGAACTTTCACCGGCTGATGGCTAGCATTATCTTATGCTTGGGCAATCCTGAACTTTCACCGGCTGATGGCTAGCATTATCTTATGCTTGGGCAATCCTGAACTTTCACCGGCTGATGGCTAGCATTATCTTATGCTTGGGCAATCCTGAACTTTCACCGGCTGATGGCTAGCATTATCTTATGCTTGGGCAATCCTGAACTTTCACCGGCTGATGGCTAGCATTATCTTATGCTTGGGCAATCCTGAACTTTCACCGGCTGATGACTAGCATTATCTTATGCTTTGGCAATCCTGAACTTTCACCGGCTGATGGCTAGCATTATCTTATGCTTGGGCAATCCTGAACTTTCACCGGCTGATGGCTAGCATTATCTTATGCTTGGGCAATCCTGAACTTTCAGCTGCAGGGTTCTTCCAAGTATGTCACTACATTTGCTGTTCCAAGATAATTTGTGTTAGGACTTCAGCATTTATGCTGTACTGTACACACAGTATTTCATGCCTGGTTTTGTCTGATTCAATAGTACACTAATCATGGTATTTCTCGAGTTTTATAACACATCCTGCACTTCTTGTCTGTGCAGTAGTGCACACATCCAGTAGTGTGTGCATTTACTCACCTAAGTTATGCTTGCGGGGGTTGAGCTATGGCTCTTCGGTCCCGCCTCTCAACTGTTAATCAACTGGTGTACAGATTCTGGAGCCTATTGGGGTCTATCATATCTACATTTGAAACTGTGTATGGAGTCAGCCTCCACCACATCAGTGCCAAATGCATTCCATTTGTTCCATTCCATTCTATGTGTGGTGCTTGGGGTGCAACCAGTCATTTCATCAGTGTATGGGGTGGCATAGCCCAGTTAGTTTACCCCCGTTTGTTGTTGTTCTTTTTGTTTCATCTATGGGCTTCCCTCATCCATCCTTGTCTTACTGAAGATGATATGTTTAGGGTTTAATGCTTGCCTACCAGGTCTTTTTATTCACACTTTATTGCAGGGTGAGTTCTAGGTGATCTTCCTTTGACTCTAACTTTGCGTGGCTTCCCCAGTTTGTCTGCGTGCAGCAGCATTTTGACAATGCTCTTAATCTCTTGAAAGTACTGTACAACTTGTTAACCAAAGTTTATCTTCTCTGCATATAGTTGTTTCATGTTTTCAGCTGTTGCAATTCTTCTTTGAGTTTCCCACTATATTTGCAGCTACTCTGAAGTTTCTTCCAGGATGTATTCATTTGTGATGTGTGCATACCCATTATTCATTTTATATCCCCCGTCTTGTTCCTTCTGTTTCGGTTTAATGGTGCATGGGCACCATTAAACCGAAACAGAAAGTGGTTTTCTTTCTGTTTTTTTGTTTGTTTGTTTTTTCAGTCAACCACTATGTTTGCATGTACTCGACTCCATACCACACAAAAGAAATAAATATATTATAACTTAACCTCATAACTTCAAAAGCATGGTATCAGACAGGCTTCAACACCGACCCTGTCAGAAAAAATGTAATTGAATGTACATCACAGGTCCAGAATGCTCTTGGTGTCAACACCTACGAATAAGCAATCTTGCTGTAACTAACAATTTGTATTTTGTAAATCTTCCAGAAAAGTGTGAGGAAATAAATTCTTTGGCTGTTCTAATGGAAGGTGTTAAAACAAGACAAATTGAATCAGTTGTAGTCTCTCAATACATCACAACTAAATACAGACTAACCCTCAAGTAAGTTTATTAAATTGTTCATTGTGTCAGGTATATGATACCTTTCAAACACTACATTATTTTATTTTAAAGTTTGTGGAATCTCCTTTTACAGTTCTCCCTTAAGCTATGCCTGAAATCCTGACTGGAAAGACTCACTTGCTTTCACGCCCCCAATTACAGTACAGTATTCTTATTATAATGTGGGGAACTATAAAAAAGTAAGGCTGGCACATTGGGCTGTTACTGTTTTATAACTTTATTAGGTGAGACTGGACCCTGACTGGCCTATTTACACTCACATACATCCCATGTGTCATCTTGAAAAATTGGGTGAGATTAGCCATAAGCATCAGGCCTCCTTCTTTGGACTGATATTCTATTGTATAGATAGTGTTATGTAATCAGATTAATTTTAGTGAACAGTGTAAATAATAATACCCATCTCTTCACATTTAAAATAGTTATCATCATGCTAGTTTGTTATAAATGAAGCACATAAGTAACTCAAATGATAAAAAGGCATTTTCTTTGTTGTACTTGTAGTTTTCTTTGTAAAACATTGTACAGTACATTATTTTATAACTTTTCTCTTTTTCAGCTATTTGTGTGTGCTGTGTATGTATATGTTTACAAAGTGCAGTCAAAGCTCTGTGGGTAGTCATCCAGTAGTGAGCAGGTTAGCTCAGTACCGCCAACTTCTACAGGTAAACCGGCCTCGTTGTACTGTACAGTATTTCAAAAAGTAATTATTTTTTATTTTTTAATACTATCACTCATCCATCTTCAGTTTTGTATATTGTGAGATCTGACAACTATTCTATCCTATATCTGTGGAAATTATTATTACAATAGTAGAAACTTTTTAATGATTTCCATGTCTTAAGTTGTCATTGTTAATGACTTTGAGTGCCTTTTTGAATGCATATTAAATATTAAATGCTTTTACATATATAGGTTATCTTGAGATGATTTCGGGGCTTTTAGTGTCCCCGCGGCCCAGTCCTCGACCAGGCCTCCACATATAGATATATAGATATTTCTGTTATAGTTGGATAGTATGATTTTCCCTGGTGTACTATTTGTCATTTTAAAATACTTTTGACTTTTGTACACCTTTAGTGTGAATCTACACGTATGTTTTTTGATAGCTGTCTCACTTTCAGGAACTTAAACCATGTGATGATAAGCTGGAAGCAGATTTGAAATGTCTGATTCCAGAAATTATTTTGGCAAGAACTACAAAATTAAATCCTACTCCAAACTCGACAAAGGAAAAACCAAGGTTGTATTCCATAATATTTTAGACGAATTATGTTTTTTAATAAAACAACCACATATGCATGGTGCACATTCACACTCGTACAGTACATACGCTTGCTCACTCACATGGAAGGAACTCCTAGCTTCATTAAGGAAAAAAGACCTAGGATTGGACATCACACCAATCCCTATACTAGATGTACAAATTTTAGTGATGACACACTTGCCCGGCATTCCTCATAAGTAATATCAGCCTGGTTTTGAGCTCCCCAAGCAGAAAGGGATGATTAGGCACTGATCTTCCCTTGATGAACAGAGAACAACTACTCTACTATCAATAGAGAACTGTGCTTCCCTGTTCATCCAGCAGTAATTGGAGATCTGGTTGTTAACTAATTGGCAGATCTTGTTCTAGAGAAATCTGTTAGGGTAATGCCTATTAAAATTAGCCGGGAAGGAGAGCTCTAAGCCTACTAACAAAAGTCAGAAGTTATCTTCTCCCTCTGTATCCTCTTGTTTGCCTTCCCCAGGCCAGGCTAGGGGAGTAGAAGAGCTCCCAAAACCCTCTCCAGGTGTGTACCCCTCTGTATAAAAAGTGATCTACAAAGTAGGCAACTAGAAGAGCAGCCTATAGGAACTTAAATGAAGAAATAATTTTGGGAGATTTGTATGTTACCTGCATGAGGTCAGTGCTAAAGTACTGTAAGAGCTGGGTAATCTTTATTCTGGTAACGCGAATTAACTCGTTTAATTCTTGACTTTTTAACCCAAATAATAATTCAAGTTAAAAGGTTATACATATTGTTTCAAGTAAACCGTGGGAATAGCCAGGCAAAGGACAAAAGTACCCAGGCATATGGCAAAAAGTAGGTGGGCAAGTGGCGGAAGTAAACGTACAAGCAGCAGGAGTAACTGGGTGGGTGGAGGAAATTGGACAAATTATGCTGGTTGTGGTGCAAAAAAAAGATTGATTTTGTTAATTTTGCGACAATTCTGCTAAGAAATTCAGCTAACTCGAAAGGTAGTGGGTCCCATGTGATTGAGATTATTGAGTGTAGACAGTATATGACACCTACATGCAATCCTAAAAAAGCAGGGAGATAATAGAGTAGTGCAGATATTTGCTACATACAGATCTTGAGTGCATGGGTAGTGAGCAAGTGCAGTGATTTAAGAGATGTTGTAGACTATTACATTCATAACACAAGAGGCTTAGTCAGTGCACCAGATGACTGACACACTAGACATTACAGACCAGGAACCGATGCTCGATTCCTGCAAGCACAACTTGAAAGCTAACATATTCTACACATGATTACTATTGTAGAATTTTTTTTTCCTGACATTTGTTATACACTTTCAAATGAAATTGTAAAGTTTATTGTGGCTCTTGATTAGCAGCATACTTATTACATTGTATGTATTTGTTTTTCAGAAAGCAAGAAAAATTACAGGTATTAAATAAGAAGAATGTGACAAAGACGGAAAAGAAGAAGAGAAAACTTTCTGACTTACTGAGTGACTCGCAGATGCTGGATGACAAAGGTGGCTCTTCTTTGGAAGTGAAAGAAGGGAAAAGCCAGGTGATAGAAGCCAGCAGTGATGAAGGACAAGAAGTAAATGGTAATGACTCAATGGTTATATATGGTCTACATCCCGAGCAGGACAAGTTCACAACTTGTCTTGTGGGGACTTTAATAAGGTGTTTAATGGTTCACTGGTTCTTCAACTCTTACTTTTTGTAAATCATTAGAATTTAACAAACACAAAATCCAGCAAAGCAAGTACCATTATTTCCAAAACTATGCATATAACCACTATTTCCATTTTAAACACAACCATTACCACTCAGCACTACCACCACCACCTTTACTGCCTCCACCACCACCACCACCACCACAATTACTCTCGTAAACACCTATTACTGTACCACCACCCTCCACCCCATAGAGCAGCTTGTACACATTCCACCAGCCTAAATTAAACTTGTGCACATTACACTGAATTAAACTAAACCCCATTCAGTAATCAATTACAATTACCTTAGTATTTATTACAGGTACACCACTTTTTGTATCCTAAGATACCCCAGTCTGGGGATACCTCTCTCGACCACTTGTGAACAAAATGTCTGATTCATACTAAATTTGCTATATTTTTCTTCAGGGTCTGTTGAAGTAGAGGAAAATGAGTCTCTTGACCCTGATGGAAAGCGTGCCATTAGCTACCAGATTTCTAAAAATAAGGGTTTGACACCATCACGCAAGAAGGAGCAGAGGAACCCAAGAGTCAAGTACAGGAATAAGTACCAAACGAAACTCAAGAAAAGGAAGGGACAGGTAAGCAAAGTATTTTATATACAGTATAGCAACTAATTATTTATTACATAATTTTTAGGTACATATTGAATTTATGTTGCTTCACCAGAGGTCAATTTGCTGTGAAGATTAAAGGCAAAAATTCATGAACTTAAAGAATATATAAAAATGCTAAATATTTTACTTTGGGTTTGATATGGAGAGAGGGTTTGCAATTAAATATATTGAATGAATCAAACTTATTTTCCACAGGTGCGCGAGGTGCGGAAAGAATTAAAGCGTTACGAAGGCGAGGTGTCCGGCATCAAATCACATACAATTAAGAGCAGAAAAATAAAATAAATATGACCTCTTACTAATAATTTCTTCAGATAAATACTTTTAACACTTTCGCGCTCTCCGCAAAGGTCACTCAGCCAGCCGAATGTGCGCGCTGCGTTTTTATCGCTTAAGCGTAAAAACAAAAATGTGTATACTCTTTTTACTCTTCTGACCTTAGTTCTCATGCTACGTATTTCATTTTGGTACCGTGTTCGCAATAAAATTCTCTAGAAGAACATCAGTAAAAAAAAGTCACGAAACGTATAGGGATACCAGCACCAAATAAATAACTACGAAGATGACTCGCCGTGAGCGCTCATCAGCAACAAAATGTTTTTACTCTTGGGATTGTAATCACCTCCACACTTGTTCTACAGCGTTAATTTTGGTATCAATGGACTCGCAATGAAATTCCCAACACGATGATATGAATATAAGCATAGAATAATGATGCGGCCCGCCCGCAAGAGTGTGGGCAGTGGTGAAATTGTTACCCGGTATCGGTGACGGGATGACGCACGGCGCTTTGAAAGTTTATACTTATTTCACTCTCATGACATTAATTTTCTATGTACGTCATTCATTTTTGTGTCAATGTGTTCGCAATAGAATGTTCTATGTGCCCATAGGTAAAAAATATCAACAAAGCGTAAGTTAGAATAGCGCCAAATATAAAACAACGCTGGAACATATCAGTGAGCGTCAAACACGCACGAAATGTTTTTACTTTTGTTATGTTTGTCAAGTTTATACTTGTTGCACACAGTTATTTTTGGTTGTATATTGATCGGAATAAAATTCTCTAAACAGACATATGCATATAATACATGATATGGGGGAAGCATTACCAGTATAAACGGCTAAAGTCACCCACCTGCAACCCGTTTGGGACAAAATACCATTTGATCGAAGTTATCCACACCTTTCATGAACTTATTGTACCATGCAGCCTAGTGGTGAGAAAGAGAGCCTCATAGCGCGCAGTTTGAAACAAACCCAAAGTAAATCGGATAAAAATTGAATTTTATACAAATATTTTAAGAGAGGACTCAACTTTATGTCCACTATGCGTTTACGTTAGACGAAACGGGACGCGCCGATTCGTCCGGATAGCGCGAAAGTGTTAAATTAATAGTTTTGAGTATTTAAATTTGTTAACTTGAATTTCGAGCTATTTTTTCATGTTGCGTGTAATAAATGTTTATATAAACAAAAAGATGTTTACCAAGTGGTGTGTGTTAATATTACATTGCTTCCTTGGGTCCTTAATTTTGTCTCCATTTTACTATCATTACTTTATAATGACTGCATTCTTCTGTTAATAGGTAACTCTTTGTTATAGTTCTTTGAAGTGTATAATGTCTACTTAAAGTTGCACATTTATACACAAAATGTTAATATTATAAAGAGACCTTTTGATGAATTTGTTATGTTTAATTACATAAATAATATTTATATTAGGGTCTGACAGCTGAGTGGACAGTGCTTAGGATTTGTAGTCCTGAGGTTCTGGGTTCGATCCCTGGAGGCGGAAACAAATGGGCAGAGTTTTTCACCCTGATGCCCCTGTTACCAAGCAGTAAATAGGTGCCTGGGGGTTACACAGTTGCTGCGGGCTGCTTCCTGGAGATGTGTAACGAAAAGGTCTGGTCGAGGACCGGGCCGTTGGGATGCTAAGCCCCGAAATCATCTCAAGATAGGGTTAGGAGGGAAGAAAGCAAACAAATGACACAAAATGTGTATTGCTTCTGTGTTTTAATCATTTGTAACTCAATATATTAACTCAGAATTTTAAAAATTATAAATGCAGCAACTTTGTGACCCTTGTGAAAATATTATTTTTAAATATTTTTTGGCACTGCAATGAAATAAAATCTACAACTAAGCTTGTTTTTAAAAGACCATTTAATTTCTTAATCAACATGAAAGTTATCAAGTCATTGAGTGAAGTTAAATGTGGCAGTTCTTACTACTGCATTAACAGTTTGCATTTTCATGCAAATTTATCTATTAATTTAAGATGTTCTAAATGTTATATAGTTAATATTGCAGGTGACCTTGAAAGATACATATTAAAAATTAACCAGGATGTTCCTTATCTTCCCAAAAAGTTAGGATATACAGCTACTAATATGTTCTATACATGATAAACGATTTCTTGTTTATGTATCACCTTCTTTGCCAAATTCCATTAATGATTTTAAATTCCATTTAGATCTTTTACTTAAACCAATAATTCTTTTAGTTGATTTTAATTACACAATATTTTTTTATGGGGCAAAATGCTTAATGTACTTACTCGTGCTAACAGCCGCATACCTCCTCAAATACTCCTGATTTTCAATAAACACCTTAGAATTATTTGAATCATATGTCCCCTTGATAAAATTTTTAGTGAATTTGACTCCTTAGGTACTGCTCATCTTATGTCTATCTTCTCTCTTATTGGTATCCTAAACATGTAGGAACTCTTGAATATTCTGTACTATGCTTACTTATGACCACGTTTTAGAACTTTTATCTTTCCGTCATCTTTATTGTTTTTAAATTCTGGGGAGACAGTTTTTACATTATCTTGTTTAAATATCTCTATGGTCTTCTAGATTTTTAAAACTAGCTTGGCAGATACTTAATAACCTTATAATAGGAACATCATCTTGGGCCATAAACCTTTTTTTCTTTCCTACTCTTCTCCTATTTTGACAGGGCAGACTGCAAGTTATTTATAGCATTAGTCACTACAGGATAAGATACACTTGTTCCCATATTCAGGTCCATATTACTCTTTACAGTGACAGTCCTTGACATTTACTTAACCCTGTGCTATTTTCGAAGTAACGCTTTGCTCCATTTTAATGATCCTGTGATCACTGATTCACTATCCAATGCAAATGATCTTGGTTCTTATTTTTTACTTTGTGCATTAGTACTGCTTCTCGGGTTCCTCCCATTTTTGTTGTGTGGAGCTTTTAGTCTTTACAAGACCTTTCCAAACATTTTTCAGAACAAAGAAAATGTAATTTAAATAAGGAAATTGAAAAATTAACAAACTCAAGCAATCATACCAACAGGCAATGTTTTTCCCCTCGCCAAACAAGAAGCTAGAAATCCAAACAGCCTCTTTTATGAATTGTCATTAGTACAAGCACAGAAGACTGAAAAGAAATTAACATGCCAATGTACTCAGTCTTGGAACCAGACTCCTGGAAAATTTATAAAGAAATACAAAGTTTCAGTAGTACAAGTGGTCAGTGTAATATGAAGGAAGTTTTATAGAGTTTTTATAAAGAGTAATGACCTTCACAACCCAGATTAACATGGAATTAGAGAGAGAATATCCTGCCTTTCACAATCAACTTTGGGGCCAACCATTTTTCTCAAAAATCAGTGACATCGATGAGAATATTGCAAACCACATCATCAGATTTGCGGATGGATGGCACTAAGATTTATTGTAAAGTAAGTAATGAAGCTGATATTTATACCTTACAATGTGAGCTACATGAACATCATAAATGGTCAGAAAATTGGCATATGCTTTTTAATTTCTAAAGATGCAAGACTATACATGTGGGGCATAACAGTGTATATCATTACTACCAACTCAACATTACGTTGCAGCAGATTCATCTCCAAAGGTTGACAGGAATATTAACAATGCATTTGGAGCGAGTATATTATTGGGATAATCTACTCGCTACAAATGCATTCAAAATGAATTACAGGAAAAATAGGCAGATGGATCTACAATTTCCTGACTAACAGAACCCAATGTGTAATAGTCAACAAAATAAAATCCGGATCATCAACCATAAAGAGCTCAGTCCCCCAGGGTACTGTGCTTGCTCCAGTAATTTTTCTCATCCTCATATCGGACATAGACAAGGACACAACCTATAGTACTGTATCATCCTTTGCAGATGACACTAGGATTTTTAAAAGAGTAGACAACAGAGGACACAGGAAACCTCCAATCATATGTAAATCAGGTCTATCTATGGGCTACAGAAAATAATATGGTGTTTAACGATGATAAGTTCCAGCTCAAGCACTACGGAAAAAAATGAAAATATAATAACCATGTACAAAATGCTGTCAAATCATAACATAGAATGGAAAGGCAATGTAAAGGATTTGGGTGTACTGATGTTGGAAGACCTTACATTTAAAGAACACAATAAAGTAGCTGTCTCAACTGCAAGAAAAATGACAGGTTGGATAACAAGAACCTTTCACACTAGAGATGCTATACCGATGATACTTTCAAGATGTTAGTGCTTTCCAGAGTGGAATACTGCTGCATAATGACAGCCTTTTTCAAAGCTGGAGAAATTGCTGACCTGGAGAGCATGCAGAGATTCTTTACTGCTAGAATCCACTCAGTAAAACATCTAAACTATTGGGACCAACTAAAGAGCCTAAATCTGTATTCTCTTGAGCGCAGGTGGGAGAGATACATAATAATTTATGCATGGAAAATAGTAGAGGGGCTGGTCCCAAACCTGCACACAGAAATAACAGCACATGAGACCAGAAGGCACGACAGGATGTGCAGAATACTCCCGTTGAGCAGAGGTGCAACAAGTACTCTGAGAGAGAACTCTATCAACATCAGAGGCCCGAGACTGTTTAACACGCTTCCACTACACGTAAGGGGCATAACTGACTGACCCTTCACAGTGTTCAAAAGAGAACTTGACAAACACTTCCAAAGGATACCTGATCAACCAGGCTGTGACTCATACATCAGGCTTTGAGCAGCCGCGTCCAACAGCCCGGTTGACCAGTCCAGCAACATGGAAGCCTGGTCAATGACCAGGCCTCTAAGTCCCGGAATCACCTCAAGGTAACCTCAAGGTAGGTAAGGCAACCATCCATCCATCCATCTAGTGCCTGCTATCAGAATAATAACTAACTCTGCTTTCAGACAACACTCAGCTCCCTTCTTTAAATCCCTAAACTTGCTAAATATTAACTCCCTCCACACATTCTCTTGTGTCAACTATATTTACAAAACCCTGTTCTTAAATGCAAACCATGCTCTGAAACTCTCCCTGGACTGATGTAATAGGACCCATTATCACCACACCAGAAATAAATATCTCTTTGATATCCCCAGGGTCAAACTTAATCTGTGTAAACACTCTATGCAAATTAAGGGACCTAGTCTATGGAACTCGCTCCC